ATGGCTTTAGCAGACTTATTGGGAAAACAGCTCAAAGTGTTTACAAAAGAAAATGCAGCTGTTCTCTTGTTCCCCAGGCCTGAGGTTGGGGTGGTCATCACAGATGTAGTGCTTCCTATTGCCACGTCAGCCCTCTTGCCCAGTTCTCAGGGGCCTGGGTTCTGATTCTCTCCTGTGGAGACCGGCTCAGTGGATCTGCTTCGGCTTCCAGGAGAGGATAGGCAATGGGACTGAGCAGCCCGGTCGCAGCCAAGGCTGTGCTGAGAGTTAAGGTGGGGCCAGAAATAGCAAGCTAGTGGGGAAGTAGTAGAAATGCAGGTCAAACAGCCGGGCTTAGATAGCAGCCCATGGAATCGGGGTGTCTAAACTATAGGTTGTGTCAAAGAATAATGAGACCAATACTCAGTACCTGAAATAAAAAAGACAAAGCTGAGTGTACTGACTCTTGTAAAAATGGAAAGCTCTGCTGGTCTGGCACATCCTTTCTGAGCAGAACAGGTGGCTATCTTATATAGGTTTTTGGGAAGTGTGGAATTTGGGGAGGTGGTATTTCGGAGGTATTGACATCATCTGAAGGAGAGTCATTACTCAAATGAGATGGTTATTGATAGGTTGGCACTCAGAGACATGTTCATTGCGGTGAGCCCATTCTTGATTAGCCAGAAGTGATGGGCTGTCACTGATGGGTTGACTTGCAAAATCAATTGACTTATGGAGGCAAGTTGCTGATTGAACAGGTTTAAAATTAGTTATGCTGGCTATTTGTTTCCATGGCTACAGAACAATCGATCTTCTCCTAGGAGAGAGGTAATTTTTTCTCCTCAAGTGGGATGGGAATGCATCTAGAATTCAGAACAGAGATGAGATCATCACATTTAAATTGGACCTTTCTCAGGGAAATCCTTCAGGAAATAATTAGGAGAAAGTAAAAATAGTCCCAATCCCAGGTGATGGGGCAACTGTAATGAGGTAGATTAACAAACCCAAGAAGGACCTGTTTCCTTCTATTTTTCCAAGGAACCAAAACACATAGACTAGTCTATAAGTGAATGAGGACTCTCATGCCCACTAATGTTATTGAGTAGCCTAGAGCAAGGGTCAGCAAACTTTCTCCATAAGCGCTCACATGGTAAGTATTTTAGGCTTTACTGGTCATAGGTTCCGTCTTTGCAGCTAATCAGCTTGGCCACTGTAGTGCCAAAGCAGCCATACGCATTATGTCCACAGTGGGTGCAACCAAGAGTAGCCGGATATGGCCTGTGGTGATCGGATTAGACATGCAGGCTGTAGTTTGCTGACCCCTGGCCTAGAGCAAGTACTCTCTCAATTGCATTTACTGTTGGTGATTCAAAACCCAAAATATCTAAACTCCCCTGACAGCTCAAGAAAGAGTACAGAAACACTAAATAGTTGCTGACAGACTGCCTTCTGATATCCTGTCTAGTTGGATGTCATTAATTCCCAGCCAGGCTGGGATTCTCATTGAGAAATAGCTGGGATAGGGCTAGAGCTGGAGTAGAGACTGAGTTTGGAAGAAAAGGCCTCCAATGTCCCATTCGCAGTCGGTCTCAGGCGGTCAGTGCTGTTGTTGCCACCCCTCACCACCCCCTGATGCTTGCTGGGCCCTGCTACGTGGCCAACAGCAACGTACCTGCAGGCTGCTGCTATTCCGACATCCGTTAGATCTACTCCAGCTAAAGAGAATTTGTCCTTTGGAAACTGATAGCTGGTCAACTAACATCAGAGGTCTGGACTTTGATGCATTTTTAGCTTTTTTGGAGGCTAGAGGATAACCTGGCCCTTTTACCTTCCTCCATCAGAGGGGTGACTTAAATGACAGCATCCCAGGGGCCTAACCATCGGTTGTGAAGTTATTTTGACACCTTCTTCCAGGGTGCCCAGGGGTTTTCTTGAAAATAGGACATCCCTTGTCCTGCCATGGTATTGCAGCATTTCTGGGAGTAGTCATGGAATTAGCCCACCATAGTGGACTCTCAGGAAAGCACTTTAAAAAATTCCTTTTTCCCTTCTGAGGGAAAAGCAATAGCTAATATCAACAAATCTCTTGGCTGTGGCTTGCACATCTTAAGGTTCAACAGTGTGGCGATTGCCAAGGGGAAGGTGGAGGGAGATGGAGGAGGGTATAGGGGGGATAAATGATGACGGACAGAGGCTTGACTTGGGGTGGTGGACACACAATACAGTGTATAGAATGATGTCACAGAATTGTGCACCTGAAACTTGTCTAATTTTAACCAGTGTCATCCCAATAAATTTAGTAAAAAGGAAAGGGGGGGGTTATTTGTAAATCAATACTCAGAAATATCCACATACGACAGCTTAGAGAACTCTCTGAAATTAATTGGACTCCAGTATCCATTGCATCCATTCTGGGGTCAGGAAAAAATACTTCGTATGGACCAAAGAGAGTTCAGAAGAGGAAATACACAGAGTGACTAAGGAGGACTTTATGTCTTTAATATTATTATAATAAAGTAGCTTTAAAATGAGAAATAATTTTCACTTATTAGGAAATACTTTATAAAATATTTAGACTTGGGTAGGGTGGGGTTGTAGAATATAAATAGCCAGAGCCAATGTATGTCAGGAGACTTAGCACAGGTTTTTTTATTCTCTGTGATCAGAAATTTCACATTCAGGAGTCTCTACTAGAAAACAGTCACAATGAGGACAAATCAAACACAAAATCAGAAACCGTGTGAATGTCTAAAAATGGGAGCATGGCTAAAGAATGCAATATTGCACATGATTAAAATTTTTTATAGTGTTGCTATTAACTATGTGAGCATGCCTCTGATTCAATGTTAAGTTGCAAACAAGTTTAGGATAGAAAATTATCAGAAATTTGATTTAAGTTATGTTTTTAAGAAAGCTTAGAAAAGAGACTAGAAGTAGATATGTTAAATGTTGCTGGCTGTCCTCTGTCATTCTCCTTCACTCTTCGTCTGTGCTCCTGTATTAGCACCTCTGCATTTACTAATAAAAAGGAATATTTACTTATTTTTTATTTTTTTTAAAATATATCTTTATTGATTTCAGAGAGAGGAAGGCAGAGGGGGAGAGAGAGATAGAAACATCAATGATGAGAGTCATTGATCGGCTGCCTCCTGCACGCCCCCGACTGGGGATCGAGCCCGCAACCGGGGCATGTTCCCTGACCAGGAATCGAACCCTGATCTCCTGGATCCTAGGTCAATGCTCAACCGCTGAGCCATGCCCAGCCGGGCATATTTACTTATTTTTGTTAACTTATTTTTATTCTTCCCTCTCCCACTGAATGATCCATGAGAGAAGGTACCATGTCTTTCTTATCATTTTCTGTACATTCTGTGGCATAGTGCCTGGCCCACTGTAGGTAATAAAGAAACTGATTGGGTGATGGCCTCTCGGTGACCTAACCTTTAGGCTTTTCTTTTTCATTGTGGACCGGCAATACTTACATTAGAAAAAGAAGACAAAATTTTATTTATTTATTTGTTTGTTTGTTTGTTTGTTTATTAAATATATCTTTATTGATTTCATAGAGAGGAAAGGAGAGGGAGAGAGAGAGAGACAGAAACATCAATGATAAGAGAGTCATTGATCAAGCCCGCAACTGGGCATGTGCCCTGACCGGGAATCGAACCCCGATCGCCTGGGTGGCCTGGATCCTAAGTCGATGCTCAACCGCTGAGCCACGCCCGGCCGGGCAGAAGACAAAATTTTAAAGTACTAGAAAAATTTTGTTTTAGGATCATTTTCTTTAGTAATCAGCCAAGTTTCCTAACGGGTGAATAGGAAACAGAAGCGATAAAATCTGGAGTAAGGTAAAAGTAGAAAATTTTTAACTTTTTTTAATGGAGGAGAATATGTCCAGCCTCCCACTCCATTCCCTTGGGATTGTGTTTTTCTGCCTTGTGAAAGCAGAGCCTATGCAATGTTTTGTGTGCACGTGTAGAAATAAAATGTACTCGTGTCCCCTGGCTTGCTCAACACAATTTGCTATCTTGGCTCTGCTGTAGGTAGTGTCGGTTGACTATATATATATACACACAAGGAATATTAGATTTGAAGAGAACTATTGAAAGGGAAACCGATTTTGGTTTTCCCTTTTCCAACCACCTCCTCTCCTTAAGATACAATTTTATTATGTCTTTATTATTGTGGCAATTTAAGTCTTTTAAAGTTGGGTCAAGTGAAACTTCACACGTAACGTCGGTCAGCACAATCTTAAGTGTGCCAGTAAAAGAAGATTTAACAGAAAAGCATTTAAAAATAAAAATAGGACAGTTTCCTTCTGGCTTATATGAAATATATATTTTAACTCTCAGTTCAAATATTTAGAACTTTTAAAATTTACCGGATTTTCTAATGACACAACATATGAAGTAGGAAGTAACTGAAGGAGGCCAATTTTCCAGACTAAATCGCATACGTAGAATTATGGATGTCTAGACGCATGTTGTTTTATGCTTGTCACCAGTATATGTGGATAAGATTATTTGAAAGTAATTAAAGTCAGTAGGTAACAGCTACATTAATGGAGCATTTTCGCTTAGGACGATTCTTACGGAATAGAGTGGAGGGAAGAAAATTTTGATAGGATTTAACTCATATTTAGGGGACAAGAGAAGTGCGAACTGCCTCAAAAAGTGAGGAACATGCCTGCAGATGGAAACCTGCGTGTAAATATGTGGATTTCTCTTAGCAATGAAGAGCGACAAGGAAGCGAGTTGGTGTTTTGTCTTTCTGCACTGTTAGTTCTATTAGTGAAGACCACTAGCTAGCTCATCAGCGTTTTCCAAACGGAAGAAGCCCGTCTGGGTGGCATCTAGCAAGTCAGGTTTAAGAAGATGTCAGCGCCTTAAGACCCATGTCACATGACTCCCTCTCCTTGCCAATACTAGATGCCGTGGATCAGATTTCAACTCCAGGCAGCCCTCCCAGCCATGTGGGTTTAAGCGAGGGAGAAGCTGAACCGCACTTCCGAAAATGCGAGGAGCCGCTCTTCGCGTACCGCGGGGCCTCGGGATCGGGAGCTGCTTTTCAAATCAAAGCATAGCCCCTGAATGGAATTTCAGTATTTTGCTGTCATTCTGATGTTTTCATCTGGTCTTCATCAGTTCTGCCAGACACTTCCTGCGAGGATGGGGGCAGGAGCTCTCGCCGTCTGTGTGAGTACAGGCCGCCCCTGTCTTCTGGGCACCCGCCAGGGCTCCGGAGAGGCCTCTGCCCTCCTGGTTTTGTTGAGATGTTTTGTGTGACTTTGTTTTCCTTCCTAGGAGGTGGGAGCAGGTTTGTTACTTAAATTCCTACCTATTCAAATGGACATTAAGCAGTATTTGGAGCATTCGGCATTCCTGTCCACTTTCCCTTTCCAAAAAAGGTGAAGGAAAATGCCTGCTGAGTTTATTGGGTTAAGTCTGTTTGATTTACTGTGGAGCACTCTCTAGCGTTTTAGACTTTCTTGTTCCACAAGGGTGAACTGTGAATTCTCAGTTGCAGTTATTGGAGAAATCTTGTGGCTAGATTGAGAAAGAATTAAAACAACCATTAATTTATGACCTCTGAGTAGGCGTACGACATCTTTGTATTCCCTTTCTTGTTTTCATTTGGTACTTCTGGAATTTCTGTTTCAGCATGGTTGCTGAAAGTGGTGGTGAAAAAGTGTGGTTGGTAAATGTTTGTGACTCTGTGTTCACCTGGAGAAACTTCTGGTTGTTGTAATACAGTAGCATCAAGAAATAACACTGATATAAAATCCGTGGGGAAAATGTATATATTTCTAGGGCTGAAATTCATGAATTTCAAAAGCAGTTCTGTTGGTGCTTATACATGACCTTTTGCAATAACCAAGAATTGTCAATTGTAATTTACAGAATGCTATAATTAAAATCTTATTTCAATATGTGAAAAATGCATAAATATGCATATTTATATTTCAAGTTAGTGGTGTATTACAAGGGGGCATTGTATGTCTCTTAGTACTAAGAGAAATATCTTACTCTTTATTGTCACCTTAGTCCTCCCTGTGTTTCATCACATTTAGGTCAGATCCTTTTTATTAAAAAAAAATTTCAGAAAGTCTTGCAATTTGTTGTAGGTTGTGATGGCATCCTAAACTATCCAGAAGTATCCAGGCAATTTTTGACACGAGGCCCTGAATGGTCACCAGATGGTGCACCAGCCCCACAGATTGAATTTTCTTAGCAAAACTGCCAAGTGACTCCCTCATGTCCATGCTCAGAACTTTTCAGGCTGTGCCAATCTGCCTGTCTGTGTGTCTTTTCCTTTTAGCCCTGAGGCTTTCAGCATCCAGGTATCCAGCTAGTTATCTCTATATCACTTCAAAGTGTTTCCTTCAAAATCTGATTTTTTTTTTTCTATGTGTAAAATACTGAGCTTTTACTACAGACATTGGTCTGCATTTTTTCAGCTTTGTTAAAGAAAGATTCAAGGACCAGAAATGTGTAGAGTGAGGCAGCAGATTGATCTTTTGTCATGAGATTTGCAGTCATTTCTTCTGTTTTTTTTAAATCCTCACCTGAGGATATTTTTTTCCATTGCTTTTCAGAGAGAGTGGAAAGGAGAGAGAGAAACATCAATGCCAGAGAGACACATCCATTGGTTGCCTCCTGCACCAACCCAGCCAGGGCCAGGGATCAACCCTGCAACCGAGGGATGTGCCCTTGGCTAGAATCGAACCCGGGGTCCTTCATTCTGCAAGAAGGACGATCTAACCACTGAGCAAAACCTGCCAGAGCTTGCAGTCATTTCTGATTGTGTGATTGGATCCTTACCTCCTGCCCTCCTGATTACACTCCTTGTACCTTGGCTGAAATGCAGACTGACCCATGTATGAAACTCCGTATTTTCCCTTCATTTATATCCAAAGCATGTACAAAATTTTATTTAAGGTTGACATAAAAACTGCACTGTTTAAGATATTATTCACTCTGATATGATAGATATGAGCATCCCAGTTTTGTTGTGGGAGGAACCGCAACATAGTATTTCTGCAAAAAGATAGCGATTGGAGAATAAAAAACTTTTAAAAAAATGACTTTGTGGCAGAAAAGTGAGGTCACCCATAAATGCATGCATATGGGCTGATACACTTTTCTTAGTTTGGGACTTNAACTTTGTGGCAGAAAAGTGAGAAGTCACCCATAAATGCATGCATATGGGCTGATACACTTTTCTTAGTTTGGGNGACTTTGTGGCAGAAAAGTGAGGTCACCCATAAATGCATGCATATGGGCTGATACACTTTTCTTAGTTTGGGACTTTTCTACTTAGTAAACAAATCTTATGTGTAGCAGCTTCTCAGGTATCCTGCTGCTGAAGACAGTCTTCAGACAAAATAATAGAGTACCAAATATTTGTAGAGTGTGTGTGTGTACACATACATATATACTTATGGATTCTTAAAATGGGACACCGACTGGTTTAAAGATATTCATGTCCTATGTCCATTGCCTAACCAACTTTCTCTTATTTCTTTTGTTTTCCTCATTCCTATATTGATAGTGCTGTTAGTAAAACTATGCTGAGCTCACCAGATTTCCTTATATTGCTACTCAGATGTACAGAGAAGAGGTAGGTTTTTTACTAGGAAGTATCTTTTTTTCTCAGTAAATCACCCCCAGGCAGAACGGAAAACTCTACTTGCCACTTAATGTTATCTTAGTCTCTTCTAGTTTGAAATGTCACTTTTGGGCGACTCGAACTCTCTCAGATGAATCCTGAGTCTTTCGCGTCCCCTGCCTCTCCGGCTGTTCTGTCTCTCCCGGGTGGTGTCTGGGCATTTTGAGGACACATGGGTGAGAGTGAGGAGTTGGCGTATCCTCCTAGTGCATGGAGAATGAGGGGGCTTCGAATGCATGTGTGTAGATTCTTACTCTGGATGTTATTTGTGGATGAGTTCAGGTGTCAAATCTGTGACTGGGAATTTACAGATCAATTCCCTTGGTATAATCAGAGCTCAGTGTCCACCCATCCTGACTTAGCCCCAAGTCTTGCTGGTGCTGGAAAGAATTCCAAGGACATCAGGCCTTGTATGTAGCCTTTGTCCCTAACTTGAGCACCTCCACCCCTGTAGTCTTACCACCTGGTACCATCGGCTACCTTACATGTACCTCATAGTGCCGGCAGGAGCTCTGGTCACAGTGCACAAAGGCTCACTCACCACAGACCAAATTAAGATACTCTTGATGCTGATTTATTGAATCAACTTAAAACATAGTACAAAGCAGGGGGGATCAGGGGGGTAGGTTTACCTACTTAAAAAGGGTTGAAGTTGGATGAAAGGACCACACTCCTGGCACCTCGTGTTACATATTGTTTATATATCTTGTTTGAATCGAAACAATTCTGTACCCCAGGCGCCGCTGGCAGACATCTAATCCACCCAATTAAAAAATGGGCAAAGCTTGTGAACAGGAAGTTCACAAATAAGAAATACAAGTGCTAATAGCTATATGAAAATTGTTCAGTCTCATTCACAGTTAGAAATATTGGCAAATTTTTTAAAGTTTAATACCCAGGGATGATGAAAGAATGGGAAACAAGCAGTCTCACGTGCTGTCAATCAAGTTGTAAACCCTCTGTAGGGCAATGTGGCAATATATCAACATTTATCATTTATATACCTGTTGATCTAGCAATCTCATCTTTAGGGATTTATCTTACAAGTTTCTTACATGTTTCTTTGTCTCCTCATTTTGGCTGCCTCCCCGTGTTTGTTTCTAAGAATTAGGTAGAGCTGTGTCTCCCAGGCTTGGTAGAGTGGCCTAATGTAATAAGTGTCCTGTAGTGTCCAGTGGCACAGCCTCATCAGTCACCACAGCTAGGCACTCCAGGTACGCCTCGCGCGCCCCCCCCCCTTTTCGGGCTGTGTACACCCTTCTGTTGTAGTTGAGCCTTGATTGCTGTTGGCATATCTATGGGAGGTGTTTACCCCCAGGCCGACTGACTTCGAGGACTGGCTCTGGCCACCATGGAGGATCAGCTGTGCAGGGGCCAACCCCAGGGAGCAGAACTTGCTTCACTGGTGCTCTGGTGCCCCTTTAGTATGTTGCTTGCGGAGGTATTTGGGTGGTGCTTCGGCATGGTTTTCAACTGTTCATCAGGTGTGCTTACTCTGGGGCCTCCCGGGAGGTGCAGTCCAAGGTCGGCTGCCACCTATGCCATGCCCAGGGCCACGCAGCATGAGCTATAGCAATCTTCAGATAGCTGCTACTTATGATGCTCTTGGAGATGCCCAGGAGAGGCCAAGCTGTGAACCAAGGCCAGCTACCAAGGCCAGTTGCTGCTAGTTGCCAGGCCTGGGGCCACTTAATGAGAGGTATGGGAACACTAAAGCCAGATGCTGCTTCTTTGATAGATTTTAGCAAAGTCTGAAGCCTGAGCCAAGGGAGGCCGTTTGTATGGGAAAGCCCCTTGAAATGGCCTGGGTGGGCCCACAAGTTGTGTAGGGCAGGTCTCAGGGAGTCACCAGGGTGGGTGAACAGTGTTAGCCAGGTTGGTGGAGACTCAGATATAGCAGCCGCCTGCCAGCTCTGTGTGGGGAGGGCTCAGAAGAGGAACAGTGGCCTCTGTCAGCACTTCTGTCTGGTAGAAAGCTGCCCCTCTAGCCCTTGTCCTGATGCCAGACAATTAAGTTCCTCTCCGTATGTCCTGGTGCCCTTTGAGCTGCTTCCCCAGGGTGCTGGAGCTCAGAGGGAGTGAGTCCAAGTAAATTCATGAGCAGGCCCTTTAAGAACACCTGGGACTCCAGCGGCCTTCGTCTCACTCAGCCACAATCCCCGCTGGTTTTTACAGTCAGAAGTTAGGGGGACTTCTCTTCTTGCACTGGAACCCTGAGCTGGGGGGCCTGGTGTGGGGCTGGGACCCCTAGGTCCTCAGGGGGAACATCCACAGCAGAGATATTCCTCCCAATTTTTATTCCCTGCATGTGGGTGTGGGATCAGCCCATTCGGTGTCTCTGCTTCTCCTACCGTCCTCCTACCAGTCTCGACATGGCTTCTTCTTTACGTCCTGAGTTATAGGACTTCTGTTCAGCTAGGTTTCAGGTGGCTCTGAACGATGGTCTGTAGTTTGGTTGTAATTTTGATGTGGTTGTGGGAGGATGCAAGTACTGCATTTACCTAAGCCTCCATCTTGACTGGAACCT